AGAAGGGGATGACAGAGGACGAGATGGCTGGACAATTTCATCGAAGCTACCAAGATGAATTTGACCCAACTCCAGGTGGCAGTGGAAGACAGGAGGGCCTGGTGTGCTCTGGTCCATGGGATCACAAAAGAGTCAGACACGACTTAAAGACTAAACAACAACAACATGGATGGAGTGCTAGGGTGATTGGCAGCTGAGTGGCCGAATGTTGATTAGTTAGTGTTGTGAACGTGAATGTCTGAGTTTATTAAAAGATGCTTCCACAGCACCCCCCACAAACCCTTACCCTTCTTGTTTGCTTTAAAGCATAGAAAAGCTTTGCTTTTCTCACTGAACTTGGTGTCACTAGACTCTGTCACATGTGCACTTGCTTGCTCCACTTTGAAGCTAGGCTGTGGTATATCGGCCAACCAGGAATATCCTGTCTACCTAATTTCCTATTGAAATGTAATCACGGAACAGTTTGCAGACAAGTTAGAGTATCCAAAGGGGCGGGGGGAGACTGCCTGTATACTTAAAAAACATATGCCCCTTTGCATACTCAATAACCTCCTTGACCTACTTTTCAGCCAATGAGGATTTTTCTGTACCTTTATTTCCTTGTGGTTAGAAGGCATAAAAGCTCTTTGTACTTTTGGATCAAGGTCCCTCGTGTCTGGGGGACCCAAGTGGCCACTCAAAATAAACAGCGCTTGTTCTCTCTTGAGTCTGTGTATGGTCAAACCTCGTGCTTGCTTGTACAACAGTGTTTTAACACAGATTTCTTATATCTGGCTCACAGTGCGATTGGAATGTGGGGATGGGATTTGTGATGTAGTGAAGAGATGAGAGGGGCTGTCTTGTGTCTGAGGAGCAAGAAATTAAGGGAATTGTGTGGAGGCTGTAGAAACAGGAAATTGTAAATTTAAAAGATAGGAAATAATGAAGTGTGCAGGAATATTAAATATTACATTTTTATTTTATGTATTTAAAAATATTGATACTCTTCCTTTCTTTTCAAGAGGACCTAAGACAGTTTACAGTATTAAAAACAATAAATGAAACAAAAATATAAATAATTGTTTTTCACTTCAGTTTAGACTGATAAATTACCGTACCTTTCCCTTTCTATCCTGATACTTGTATTTCCCTAATATGCACCTTTTGTTTAATTCTTAGAAAAACCTTATTTATTCCTATACAGCATTTTGAAAAGATTAGCAGTCAGAGGGCACAAAGATGTAACACCTATGTTAACGTAGTCAGTGCAGTACCAATATTTGAATAAAAATACAACAGTTATCTAAATAAACCTTTTGGCTTGAAAACTGAATAATATTAATGCTTACCAAGGCTGGTAGGCATTATCTGGTTAACAAAGATAAAGGGGCAACCACGGAAACTTTGGAAAGGTTTGCGAGTGGTTGCCCTTTGGGTTAATGCCTAATCTAGTAGCATCAAGAAAAGGTGGTGAGTTTTGGGGTGAAGCTGCTAGTGAGGTGCCTTGTGACTCTCTGAAGAGTGTGTAACTCACTGGAAAGTGCAAATGGTGAGAAGAAACACTTCCTTGGTGATAGCATAGCCTGGACCCATGTCATAGAGGGCTTGTAGATTATAACCACCATATGGAATAGTGCCTAGAAAAAGATTGGTAGTTAAGGGAGGAGTTACATGTTTCTTGTAACTGGCAGTGGTCCTTAGTCTGCAATGTTTCAGCATTTCATACACTTTAATAACTAAATCGTTACCTTTGCATTTGAGCTGGGTGATTGAAATAAATCAAATATAATTAAGCCACCAATTAATTATCTAAATAATTCCGACAGATTTGCAATACTTTATATTCAGCTGGTTACTTTAAAATACAATTAATTTTCATCAATCAGATTTATAAATGAATTATTAATTTTCAGCCAGCTGGCTTAAAATACATTTTATTCATCACAGATTTATAAATCCTTATTAATCAGTTAATCCTGCATTTATCAAAGTGCTTTAAATTAGTCAACTGAGTAATTTTAGCAAAGATAATGAGAGTAAAAGGCTTGTGGGTGTCCCCTCCAAAAAAGACAGGAGGGTCCTAAAAGTATGATGTCCCTAGGATTCCAGCTAAATCAGCATATGTAGTGGGGTTCTGCATCTGAGGAGAACAATGCTGTGCTGATTGCCATTATACCATATGGAGCAGTGGCTGCAAGCCAAGACAAGGAATAGCAATATTAGCATCCATAAGCAAAAGCAGCAAGGTAGAGGCCATTAATAAAATTATATATGCCATCCTTCAGCAAATGGATGCTTTGGGGGCTGGCTCCATTCAGTATAGGAGGAGGAACCCATGGTCCAGCCACTGGGTGGAGGCTACGTGGTCACTCAGAGCTTTAGTTCACCAAGACTGCAATTCCTGGCTCTCAACAGGCTTAGTCAGGCCAAAGGCCAATACAAGACATGCCCTGGCAAAATCTGCCTTTAATAGTGTTTTCCCAGGGGATCACAGCTCATGTGGGTCAACCTCACTTATTGTACTGAGGGGGTTTAGTTCTCCAAAGTTTTTGTGTCAGGCAGCCACGCCTTTTAAGGCACATGGGCAGAATTTGAAGTGTTGGTTTTGACTGATAAAACCCTAAATTGCTTGGGCCCGAGCTACCTTAAAGACTGCATCTCCTTTGTGAGGCTGCCTGGGTTTTAAAATACAGTA